GTTGTTTGGCGGGCCCGGGCTGGGGATACGAACCCGCCACCTTGGGTGTATGTGGCTGGCGCCTTAGCTGCTTGAGCCACAGGCGCCGAGCCTGGAGACTTATCTTAAGGAAATTACTTAATAGGATAAAACTCCCTATACTCATGAAAACTTTTTGGAATTTATAATAGTAAAAACTAAAAATAAGATTAAATGTATAATAATAATAGATAAAGGCTTAGTAAATTATGGTAAATGAAAATGATGGAATAGGCCAGGTGTGGTGGTTCATGCCTGCAATCCTAACACTGTGGGAGCCTGAGGCAGGAAGATCGCTTGAGCAGTTCAAGAGCAGCCTGAGCAATAGTGAGACCCTCTCTCTACAGGAAAAAAATAGAAAAATTAGCCTGGTGTTGTGGCATGTGCTTGTACTCCAAGTTTGGGGAGGCAAAGGCAGGAGAATCACTTGAGCCTAGGACTTTGAGGTTGTTGAGCTAGGCTAATACCACTTACTCTAGTGTGGGCAATGGAGTGAGAATATCTCAAAAAAAAAAAAAAAAGGAATATGCCACTATCAAAAAGAATAATTATTAAAATTCTCTTCATATTAAACAAGAATGAGAATGCAAAAGTGTTTACATATAGCACAGGTCAAAATGAATTTCAAATGTATTTATTAAAATAAGTTAAATATGAAGACTATAAAAATAGACATGGTTGGCCAGGCGCAGTGGCTCACACCTGTAATTCTAACACTCTGGGAGGACAAGGCAGATGTATTGCCTGAGCTTACAGGTTTGAGATCAGCCTGAGCCAGAGCGAGACCCAGTCTCTAAAAATAGCCAGGCATTGTAGCAGGCACCTATAGTCTCAGCTACTTGGGAGGCTGAGACAAGAGAATTGCTTGAGCCCAAGAGTTTGAGGTTGCTGTGAGATATGATGCCACAGCATTCAACCCCAGGACAGTCAGAGTGAGACTCTATCTCAAAAAGTGCATATATAAAAAAAAAAGCTAAGGAGTTTGAGGCATACTTGCCCAAGGCTGTTCCACATTCCCTACCCCATCTTCAGGTCAATTAGTGTAGTGATTCTTCTAAAGCAAGATGGGCAGTGAGGACCAGGAACTTTGCTGCCACAGTCAGAGAAGGCTGTCTTCAATTTGGAGCAGTGGTTCAAAGAC